ACAGAGTTTACTCTTTTACCACACGTTTACACGGCGACGCAAGTTCTGCGCACAATAACTCTTCGGCAGGACTCCGGTCTACGATTACATCTTTATGGTTTTATAACGGTTCGTGCGTAAGGGATTCTTATCCCTCGTTCGATTGCAGGAAAGAACACGGAAATCGTGTTTCCAGTACCGAGGTCTTTCCCTCGTTTTTCCTTACCCCTCTGTGCAAATTCGCTTTATCGTCACGACCGCGCCGTGGAAAGCCTCGCGCGCCCCTTCGCACCGACACGACGCGGTAGGACTTCGTGTGTACACTTATTTCATGCTCGGTGGAACATCGGGATTCGAAGGGAACATCCTTTTCTCTTCGTAAAAGCGCGCGAAATCGAAGAAAGCCGACGCGGAATATATTTTTTGATGCGTGATAATTCTCTGTGTGTGTGGGTGGCTGATATACTTATGAAAACAAATCTTTAGTTTGCCAAGCGGTTTATCGCACACAAACGTGATTGTTACTGCCTAAAAAAGCGAAGAAATCACTTGTTTTATACGGCTTGGATAAATAGAATATTACTTAAAATATTAAAAACAATATACGCAAACATTTGTTTACTTAGATATTTTATATTATTTTTTTTTACGTTATATTATACAATATTATACGCATTGATCGAGAGACGACTCGCCATCTTTTCGCTACTCGACGTTGTTGTTCCGCGATTTCACCGAACTCAGACGTTTGTTACTTGGTGCATGTAAAACGACGTCAAAGCACAATGCCGACAACAAAAAGATGCATTTCGTCGTACAAAAGATCAGAAGAAGAACGCTTTGTCGTACGCTGCATTGTGTTCCTTCCCGCTAATGAATTCTTCGCACGCACGAATAATTGGTATCTCGCATTACTCTCAATCAACGCGACTATCTTCGCATTTGACTGACGAACTCACGGGAAGAGGCTGCGGTATCGTTGAAAGAGCTGAGGTGTAGAGAGAGAGGAGCGGTCGGTCGGTGGGGGAGAAACGCCAGGAAAACGGTAGCGAAAAGTGCATCAGCATGGGGTCTTTGCTGATTTACGAGAAGTCGTTGCTAGGAGAGCATTAATATCCGTGACGGAATATTAAACCGCAAGCGTCAATGGGTAGATCTTCAAAGGGATTTCCAGAGAGTCGGGAAAGAGGAAGAGAGAAAGAGAGAGAGAGAGAGAGAGAGAGAGAGAGAGAGAGAGAGAGAGAGTTTCGTCCCCACAAGATTATGAGATTCTCGTTAAGTGTCACGTGTAAAGAGTTCTTTCATACACGGCCGTGCCACAACCCCTCAGCGCCGCTCGTGAAATACCGTCAGATAAAGGTGACATGAAAATTTATCGAACGCGCGGGATTTTTCAGAGAGAGATTCACTTTAAACTCCTCCTCCTCCTCCTCCTCCTCCTCCCCGCATTGACGAGAGATGGAACGTAAGCAGTTTTACTCCGTCAGTTTCACCACGGGAGCGAAATCTTTGCTGCGCGAGAACAGAAGATTGCACACAAGCGGACGCGATTCGGAAAACCGAGTTCAAAAAGTGATGTCTCTCTCTTTCTTTTGGCGAAGAGTTGCTATGAAGTTTTCATCGCGTTTCTTTGCAATAAAATTATTCTCTATTTTTCTGCGATATACACACACACACATATATATATATATATGTATATATATATACATACTTATATATACGTATATATGTGTATAGATACGTACATGTTTGCGCGAAAATAACCAACCGCGCTCCGTTTCACGAGTTTGCGATCTTTGCCACATCTCGATTCAACTAAATTGCTGGATGCAATTAAATGCTTCTCATGCATTTCATGATGAACGTGAATTGAGAAAAGAGAGTCGAATTCATCGCGGCGCGAACGTTCACTTCATTACGCGAAACAAGACTTTCTATCCACATCGGGGGGAAATACGTTAATGAGATAAGAGAAGCGGATGCGGGAGGGTCTCTCTAGTTCCGGTAATAAGGAGGAGCATTTTTATAACGAGGATCAGCATCAACCAGTCTCCTTCTCCTCGGGGAAACAGAGACGAGATCGTGTCGTCTCGCTCCGCGTTTGCCGCTCGCAAACGCCAAGCTGTCGTTCGTTCGCTGCACCCCCTGCTGCGTTTCGTTTCCCCCACGGTGCCACGAGGGCGGACTTAATTATCTAATTAATTAACCTCAATCAGAACGATGAGTAATTTCTCGCTCGAGTGACGCCTTTGCCAACCCGAGACTTTCTTGTCGCGCGTTAACTGCGGGAGCGAATCACGGATGAGCTCACGGCAAATCGATTATGTTCCCGATGCTGCGTCGTCCCGAAAACGTGCGTCTCCGTAGCTCGCATACAAGAGAGATCCTTCTTCAGCCAGGATCCGCGATCCTCCGGCGATATCCTGCTTTCGGTGGCCGACCAATTTTCCTTCCCCGTGGCTCTCACCCGCCTTTATCTTTGGCGCTTACGCCGATCGCACGATAACTCACTCGTGAAGGGCGACTTCTTTCTTCTGTCTATCTCTCTCTCTCTCTCTCTCTCTCTCTCTCTCTCTCTCTCTCTCTCTCTCTNTCTCTCTCTCTCTCTCTCTCTCTCTCTCTCTCTCTCTCTCTCTCTCTCTCTCTTTAGCCTTCGTTTGTGTCCTTCGTGCGGAGTTCAGTGAGATGGAGTTTGGGTTGATTTGGGGGATTTTGGATAAGGAACATAAGTGAATGTCTTTGCGAATTACGGCTGACGTTCACTTTAATTATGTGTTCATCAACAATCTAAAAAACAGAAAATCAATATATCATTATGTTAATAGTGAGATACATAAAAACAATATATAAGGAGCTATGTACACACATATGTCTATGAGTCGTTTATTTTAGAAATAATTATCTAACATTTCGAAAAGAGAGGAGAGAGTCAGCTGTTACTAATTCGAACGTCGCGTCGTTTTGTTTAGCGTAACACCACCATTCGAATCTTCGAACAAACCGATTCCCCATCTTAAAATAACAGAGGCCCTTTCACGTCGCGTCCTCTCAATTTCTATTCTGGATATTTCAGGACACTTCTCGGTGTCCCGTCCTTTCTCTCCTCGACAAAAGCACACCCCAAAGCTACACCCAGCTGCACCCTGCGCGCCGCCACCGATGTGTAACTGACGTTTTTGACGCGTCAAGTGGTTTCCATCGCGATTTCATCCGAGAGGGTCGCCGCGCATTTATCGGCTACTGTTTTACATAAACATCCCAGGGAATAGAACGGCGAGAAACCTATGGCGACGGGCAAAACGTAGCGTAGGGCGCAAACGTCGTCGCGGAGATTTCTCTAAGTAATCTCGAGTGTTTTTGCAATTGATTTGCGCGTCGCGTCGATGTTTTCCCGATAGATTGCGCGGTGTCCCCGCTAGTCGGAGCTTTTTAAGCTCCGTTTAACTCTCGCCCCGGGCCACTAACTCGGCTAACTTCAGTATTTAGTTAGTCAACCCTGCCCGCGAGGCGTTATGGGAAACGACAAGTGGCCCAGTCTCAACCCCCATCGGGACCTATCCTATCGAACGCTCGAGCGTGTCACGGATTGTGTGTACACATATACATATATCCGAACGTATATTCGCGATACGCTAATATGTGCTTGTGTAAGTGAGTAGATAGTTATGATGTAGTTGTGTCACTACGCCAAGCTGTCTGTACTACCTTTCATGTGATAATCACTGTGTATTTAATCGAAGGACGTCAATGAAGCCCCGGTGCTTGACGCAAAAAGTAAACTGAAGTCTCTGTGGATTATTTCGTAATTTACTTTGAGGGACGGATCAGAAAAAAAGAGAAGAGAGAGAGAGAGAGAGAGAGAGAGATTCAAACAACGAACTTGTACGAGTGTTTGTTCAACAGTTTCGATTCCTTAGATTTTGATTTCTACGTCGCTTCTCACTTCTGATGAACTCGTAGCTTGACATTGAATCTACACACATATATTTGCTATATTGCTGTTCACAAACTTTGCATCATAGTACGAAGTTGAATTTGATACCTACTTTATTATCTTTTACAAGACTTTTCTTGAGTTAACGTTATTTTATAAGTAAACTTTTGATGTAAACGAATTATTTTATATGTACAAATTAAACATATCTCACAAACGTATCTATCTCTAGCGCTTAAATTGCTCTGTTTTGTTTAAGAATAATGAAATAAAAAAACAATTATGAGCCACATTGTGTGTGTTACATGTTACAGTGACAAGACTAATTATAAACTACCATGCGCTCTTCACGTTGTTGCTTTTCTCATCACTTATCGAGATCACGGTGCTCTTATCGGCGGAATTATTATCGTTTATCTAATAATGTCTCTGCAATCGCGGAACTCGATGATACAATAATCGCTGCAAGAAATCGCCTATTGTAACACACGTGAATTCACACGCCTTAACACAATTAAATGAAGATTATAATCAACGCGATTGCGCATTTTTGTATTTATAAATCTATATCTCTCTTCCGTAGGGAAGATAATAATGATATCTGATAATCAATTTTTTTTAGAAACTACGTACGAGACACGCACGCGCGTCGCAATTTAAAGATTTCTGATCGAAATTACTTTAAACTTTTAATCGAAAGTGACTCGTGTTGGGAACAAAATACGAGCTTTTGAAATTTAACAAACTTCAATTTTTTGATTTTTTTTTTTCCGGTAACTTTAACTGATTTGATTTCAATAGCGTTTTTGACTGAAAGTTCGGGTTGAATCGCTCTCGAAGCAATTAATAACGTCAATCTGGCAAATCGACCAATCATATTGCTTCATCTACCGAAGTGACGTCATTAATCTCTTCGGGAATGATTCAATCCTCGTAACGGGTGAAAACGTGTGTAGCGCACACTCGCCGAAACAAAAAAAAAAGAAAAAAAAAAAACAAGTAAACAGTTTTCAACGCAAAATAACTTTGCACTCTGAAGTTAATAACTTCTTCCACGATTCTCTCAAGTAATTTCTCAAGTGACAGATGACACATGACGCAAATGAGACATGTTCGCGGCTTGTGTTGTAAAAAATCATTGTGGAAATTTTTGTCTCTCACGTCATATTATAACAATACGTCGCGCGCTTCGGTCATTAATGTGCGCACAAGTTTCTCAATTTTCTTACTCAAGTAACTCTTTACTATGCTAATGGATTGCGTTCTCGAGGATGTTCCCGCAGAAGACGTACTTCTCTCAACTGTCGAGATCCTATCCAATTTTGAAGCTTTTTGATATTTACAATCGCCAGGTATAACCTCGCGGTTAAATAAATGTAATTTTGAATCTCGATATTTAATTGCACACATCAATGTCTCTGACCAATTGCCGTTGTTTCTATCTCGATATACAGTCATTTATACGAGCACATGTTTTGGATAACGTTTACATTTGCATTTTAATGTGCGTCGTGTTCTATGCGTCGCTTTGGTACGCCAACAATGTGAGTAATAGATTTCAATCCCGGATTTGCATAAGTATTCGTAAATATAATAAGAAAGATGTTTATTTTTTTTACACAAATAAATTAAAAATTTTTATTTTACAAATAATTTAAGATAATAAAACGAATCGAAAAATCGAACGAGGAAATGTCAAGGACAGTTGCCGAGAATAAAACCGTGAGTTTTTTTATGTAATTGTTTACAAAGTTCGAAGTTTTTATTTTATTTCTCATTTGCACTTAGCACTCGTTTTTTATCAAGAATGTATTTTAGAAATTAAACAGATTGATATTGCTAAAGAACAAAAAGAAGCAGTTCGAAGAAGTAATTGTAAAAACGGTACATTTTTTACATTACAAATTATAAAAATATGTCATATCTTATTCGTAGAAACACTTCCGCACAACTTAGATTTATATTTGCTTGTTACAGACAGATACACAAAAGATAACCACAAACCAATTAAAAGACGAAGTAAGTCTACACGCGAATAATAACTTATGCAAAATTTTGTTGTTCTTTATAATGATGATGCAGAGAGTGTTTCGATTTATATTCACACAGATGTGCAGGCTGAGCGCGGAATTAAACACCACTTCCGAGAAGCTTGACAAATTGGAAAAAATAATTGCGAAAGTATAATCATCTTTAACTGTTTGACGCCTAGTAATTTTTTTTTTTTATTATTATTATTTTCAGTAATCATTAATAAATCGTAGATGGTTTTTAGTACAAAACCGCAGGCGAGTCACTTGCATATTCAACCGGTGTCGTCGCATATTCAACAGTTCGCGAGAGTGAATATTCCGAAGGAGACGCGAATTCATTCAAGAAGATCAAGGTAAACAGCTCGATACATTCAAGCTATAAATAGATCTTTACGTTTGATTTTGTCAAAATAAGTAATTACAAAAAGGTCCTCGAGCCGTCGTTTCCACCGTCTGTACCGTCGGAACCTCCGCCTCGGAAGTACGGGATCTTTGTTAGTCGACCGTTTGAGCAACGGGGATCGCCGTCTGGAGGTGCACCTGCAACTCCGACGCCAAAAATCGGACTCAAATAACAGCGCCTCGGCAGAAGCTTCCTCAGAACCTGTTCTCCGACGTTGTAAGAGCTAATTACAATCGCAATAATATCTAACCTAGTCTAGTAAGATGTATGCATCTGCGAGTTGAAGCCGCTTGATACGTTCGCACTTTCTTGCGGAAAAAAATTGTGAGACACAGATTAATTAAATTAAGTATTAAGTAATTTAATTAACTAAATTAAATTAAATTGATTAAATTAAATTTGCATTGTGATATCCAAGTGTTTAAACCACAGTTTAAACCGTATTTTTATCAGGTGCAATTTAAAATTAATTTTGCAAACTTTTATCTTGTGTAGCTATCAACAGAATTTCCTCGAGATACAGTAATTATCACGACGGTGATCGGAAAAGATATTCCAAACGATTATCTAAAACACGCCCGAGGCAATTTTCCTGTTGCAATGTGCGAAAAATCAATCTAGACACTTTGAAAAATGTCACACCTCTCACCAGATCGCTGTTAGGACTTGCCACAATCTTTCTCCAAGAACATCCTTGAAACAAACCGTTTAAACAATTAGTTAGTTAGCTCGTCAAAGATATAAATTTTGTTTATTTTTTGTATCGTTCGATATCGTATTATACAGACAATGTAATATTAATGTGATATTTATTCATTTTGTTTACTTGCTACGCATGAAAATTATACATAAGTGAAAAAATTGTAATTAATATCTTGTTATTGACATTTTAATAAAACTCTTTTGATGTAGCTTAAATTTTTTTATTTCAACATAAACTCTCGGTAATACGCTGACGCGCGCTAAATTTTGCATACATTAATATTATAATCATGTTTCGTGCAGTATCTTTTAAGTCCAGCTGCGATTATCTTAACATCGTGAGCATAATAAGAGCCGCACGCGAGAGATAATAAGTTATGAAACGAGAAGAAATCGAGCATGTACATACTTGTGTGATTATGTGATGTGTGTTTATTTTTGCGATAGATGAGATATATATATATTTTTTTTATATATATTTTTATAGATTATATCTTTCAAAAATAAAGAGATTCAAAGATTCAAATTAAAAAAAAAATCTTGATGTATGCGTAAAGGAAGATTCCGTTGGAACTCTGTTCAAGAACGTGTTCAGCAGCTTCGTACAGATAAGAGTGAGAGAACGTGTTTCAGAATCAAGGCCGACAACAATAATCGATTGCACAGACCTTTGTTTCTCATATTTCTCTTGACATATCGAAAAAAAAATGTTGGATTAATATTAAAATTACGCGTGTGTGTCTCAGCTTTATAAATTATACTTTTCTCAATAAATAAGTGAATAATATGCACTTTTTGCTTGTTTATCCATCTTGCGTCTGTCGCTGACGAAGTTTCATGTGTTTGTAAGCCGAAATGGAGATTTAACGTTGTACGCCAAAGCAATTGTTATTTCGCTTTTTTTTTGTACTTCTTCTAAGTGATACATATTCCTGTTACATTGTACTGCTACATTAGTGAAATTGATGTGAAATGAAAATTGCGATGTAGTGCAGGTAGAAAGCTAATTCTACAGTAGTCTTTGGATGCAACATTCTAACAGTTAGAAAACTATTTCTTTCCGTCTATATCGTCTTTCAATGTAATATTCTGCATCACGTGAGACACAACTGTTAATTATTTATCAACGCTAACAACTTTCTGCTCTACTTGTTACGACTCGATCGTGTTCCTATTTTTTATTTCACAATATTATTTTCGAAACACAGTATCATTTTCAAGCACACCTGTCGCAACCCGATACATCTCGCTTAAATTTCACTGGAAACGTAGAAGGAAATAACCGAATAGCGTGGTTCGATTTTCAAAAAATTAAACGAGAACAATTCACGAGTTAAAACTGGAACAAATTTTATTTTGCCTCTTGTGCGTGTGTGTTCGGGAATATAATTTCTTCAAAAACGAGAACAAAATTCTTTGTTTGGAAGAATTCGGTGTCGTCCTCGGCGCGTCACTCGTCCCAAGAACACAAAGGCAGAAAAAAATGTTAACCTAATCCCCTCAAAAAAAATATTTCCTTATAAGAATCTTTTTTTAGAGGTAAGTACCGTGTTTCCCTGCGGTGCGCCGTTCGCGGACTGCGGACTTACGAGAGCCATTGAATGTTGTAGGTTCGCAAGCGATCGGCCCCAACTTTCACTGACAGCTCATTAAACCTGCCGCCGCAGTTTCGCGTCATTCTGCGACTTCAACGGGCCGTGGTAGCGTTGCCCGTATTTCTCTCCTCCGTAGAAGTGGCTTCGAACTGTCATTTGTGCTTTCGGTGACGCACCGGCGTGTAGTCGTAGTGGCGCGCGTATACACTCGCGTGCATTCCATACTTCACAGAATATTTCACCGATTTTTTTGTGCCGTGAATTTCGTTTGTGTCCCGCGCAGACGTCTCTCTTTCCTGGTGACACAGTGATATTCGAAATTTCATCGGGATATTTTTCCACGGCGCGGCGTGCCACTGTCGATTGATGGAAAGAGGAATTTTGTTGCAACTATGCGTGTTGCACCGTACATATAAGCGCGCGGGATTGCGATTGTGCTGCTGTTGCTGCTGAGTTACGATCTACGTGGGATATTTCGATTTACGTTTGAGTTAGTGATTCGATTTAGCGTGCGTTTGGGCGCCCATGATTTTCAGTCAGCGATGTCATCCGGGGATTGACCGTTTGTTTTCGGGATAATTGCCTTCCGAAATTTTCGACGTCGTCGGTGCGGTGTGTGATTTAGCGAAACAAATTGCGGACCGTTCGAGAGAAATTCCCGTTGCAAATTCGTTTCCGGCACGCGATTCAGTATAACCGCGCCGAAAGCGGCGAGATACTCAAAGAAGCCGTTGGGTATAAAAACCGGTGAAAAACGATCTTGTTGCTTCCGGATGATACGGACGTCATAATAAGAGGATCTAACGCGCGGCGCGCTTACGAAGAAAGTGGAAGTTAACGGAGAGTGAGAGTCTTCTTTCTCGAAACTGTTGTGAAAGGAGCTCCCAACTGTTTCACAGCATCGACCCGGTCGGTCGGTTACGCGTTGCACGCACAGGGACAGGTATTTCTTCTCACGATCACACAAGTATATAATTTTTGATATAATTTTTCTTTTTCTGAATAATTTTCAGACCTTCTGAAAATTCAGGTTAAGGCAAATTTATAGCGGTGCGCTACCGTACATAGCAATCAGTCACACGCGTTTTAGATAATGGGTACGCGATCGTGTTGAAAACGGCGGGTCATCGTCGCGAATCGACGCACGTTCGCATGATTGGATGACAACGTGTAATTTCGCGTATATACGATAGATTTTATCGATTTTTACAATGATGCGTATAATGATACATCCGTAAATTGAATTCCGAGAGATTGTCTCTTGTCTTTGTTTGTTGTGTTTCGTCTCTCATTTTATATCAAAATAAATTTTGTATGAAAATAAATTAAAATAAAAACGTTTCGCGCTCGAACGTGTTGTTCTTTCATTAATTACAGTTATTGTGTGATGTATATTTTTCATATTTCCAGATGTAATTCTCTCTCTACCTTCGGGGGTAAATTCGTACGTTGAAAATGAAAATAATCGAACGATTGTCCAAACAACTCGAAATATAAATCGTCGAATCGTCTTTTGCAGATTGTGATTCTGAGGACAGAAAAGCGACATGGACACGAGCACGTTGCGTTTGATAATATTTTTGGGGATGTTTCTGATTTTCGCCGGCGATTATAACGCGCTGTTCGTCTCGGTTTTCGGCAACGTATCGGAGAAGAACAAAACCAATGATGTCAGAGAACACGAGGCTCAGCTTAAAGAGCCTCACGATAAAATATCAATTGCCGCAAAAAGAGATATCAATGACAAACACAGTGGTAAGAAGAAAAACACTGCGGGAAATAAGCATTTAAACAACGCACGCATACAACGGTTTTGTTTTTACGAAATGTCTTACGCCAAGAAAGAAAACGTAATTATCGCTGCATGCAAATACTCGTTTTCTCAACAGTGTCGTGATATATATGTATACATATATACATATATATATATATATTATATCTTATTAAAACGTGTGAATGTAAAAATCTCTCGCACACTGCTCGCTTCACACAATTGTTACGTAACACATTTCTCGCGTAAGTGTATGCGAGATCTACGCACACATCTATATCGCGGCGTCGTTATTCGAGCGAGAAGATACTTCTCCATTTGCGCTTATTGCTACGCTAATTAGTATTTAATTGTCGCGCTCGTCTATATTAATTACTTAGTAACATTATCCTCGACCGCTTAAGAAATAATTTAACAAATCTTTCTATGCCGCCAAGTAGTTCGCGAGCGAGAGAATCGCATAAGCAAGATATTATCTTTGTTTTTTTTTAAACCTTGTTAAGCGATTCAAACAACCTTGGCCGAAGCTTTTGTGCGTGAATACGGTCGACTTTCTGAAGTGGTCTCTGGAAATTATTCTGTTTTTTCTTTTCTGCGCAGTTCTACAGCTACGTCGTGCGAAAATGATGACGACGATTAAGACTGCTTGCCTGCCAAAGTTAATATGCGAACTCACGTCGTCCGTTCACCAAGATCAACTGAGCGAAATGGAGCGATCTCTTTTGAATATCATAAGGTATATATATATATATATATATATATATATATATATATATATATAAGAGATGTGTAATTAAATTTATTCTTTTATTCTGTTGCTGTCTGTAGTTTAAAATATTAACACAAGAGAAAGTACGCGTATATTAAATCATTATACACACATTGAATAGCAAATTGCAAGGACGTTCAGTTTTTTGTGTTGATATTAATTCGAGGAGAACGAGATCGGCGATTCAATGTTAGCACGGCACTCGATTTACTAGATTATCTATCTACTTTCATCATCACAGACCTTTGCGTTCGCGTTTATACTTTCACAACTTTCGATCTGCTTCGCTGAACAACCGTTCAGTCCGTCGACCCTGAACGCAATTTCTCAAAGTTTATACACAATGAGAAGAATTTAAGCGAAGGACATGATTTAGAAGAATGTAAATGATTTCTTTGTTTTGTTTTGTTTTTTTTTTTGCATCGCAAATCAACAACCGACTACTGTCACGAATTCGACGCGCAACGACGAGTAGAGGTATACGTTTTGTAATTTTCACTCACCGAGAAGTTCGGAAGTAGCAATGCGCCACGTGCGTGCCGATTATACAGGATGTTTCGAAAAACGACCGCGACGGTATTTGTGAACAAAATTCTCTCTTTCATTCTCTCTCTCTCTTTTTCTCTCTCGCCGGAAAATTGGATGCCAGCGTAAATGCGGCGCTGCATATTTTGCAATTTTCGTTTACGATCGGGAGGTAAAACACGCGGCCGAGGTTTCACTCTCACGCGCGCACACACGACCGCTTTATGCAAAGAATTATACCGCGAATTCGCGCCGTTTTACGTTCTGATTAAAAGCAAAGTTATGTTAAAACGGACCCGTGTGACTCCGCTGGAAAATCGGAAAATGCAGTCCCCGCGCGCGACGCGCTTTTAATCCCGGTATTTACGCAGCGCGCGGAATGTATCTCCGATGGCCGGAAGTTTCCACTGCGAATGTATTAATTATACATTCATGTTCGTCGACCTGTGCGCGCAATGAACGCTGTTATTCGTTGAAATTTCGAGCGCGAGCTTGATCCCAGTAATACAAAGAAGGCAGAGGAAAATTAACGCGTCAGTAACTTCGTACTCAGCGAATTAGATTGTTTTTCGCAAAATTAAACCACGTGTGTGTGTGTGTGTTTTTCTGCGGAAATAGATTATTTATCTATCTCGCGAATAAAAGCTATATATAATAATTAATGCTGTAATTAATTACAGATATTCTTTTCTCTCTTAAAAAATTAAAAAATTATGATTAAAACAATTTTTTTGTCTTCAACGTGTACGTTTGATATTTTAGAAATTATAGAATCGTAATTTGTATCTAACACGTCATCGTGTGTGAAGTAAGAATTGCGTCGCGTTTTGGAAAGCATGTTCTCTCAGCTTGCTGAAAGCCGTCTCGTGAAAGTTCCACTAATCTTACGTAAGTCTTCTTCGAAAATAAAACGAAGCCTCCCCTTTTTTCGTATCTGACCGCGAGAATCCTGCGAGTACTTTCCTTTTCACGCACGCGTTATCCAATCCACGTTACTTTCTCCTGTTCCGGCGGTACACGCGAACCGAGACATTTCGCGCATCTGGCGTGTGTTTGACATTTCTTCCTGTAAATATTTTGTAGAGAGTAGTTCCGAGATTTCTTCCTGTAAATATTTTGTAGAGAGTAGAAACCGGTAAATTATTCGCAACTTCGGTAATAATTTTGTCACTCGCGCGCGATAAAAAAAAAAAACGCCACTCACTTTCCACTCGTTAAAATATCACTGAGTTTGTTTTGCTAAAAAGCGTACACAAATCTTACTCGTTAGTGTATCGAGTGCTAAACGAAAATAACGCTAACAACCGACGTAAACTAAATTGGCACGCAACGGCGAGTTTCATTAGAAAATATAATCAACCAGAGCAACGGCCGATGATGATGTGATAGCGTGTTTTTGTTAGATGTTCAAGATATTCTTTTGCTTAACATTGCTTAAATAACGCTTGTTAAAAGTTACATGTATAATTACACTACTATATGTTGATATATTTATATCCATTATTTATCTTGTATCAATATTTATTAGTATTTGTACGTATAACATTACCTTGTTCGCACGTTGGAATGGTATATTTACATAAATTAATCAAAACTCGACTTTTTTTGCAATGTTCGCGGACTCGAACAATTTCGCCCATGTCAGACTTACTAATCAAACGACATTGTCTAACCTCTTTGGTATTCGTTTATAAATTAGCGGTACGTTTTGACAGTCGCTGCCGGTATTGATAATCTATAGGAAAACGTGATGTGAACTCTAGATTTGTTATGTTGGCAATGAACATCGGAACGCAGCCTCGAATAAAGAACAAAATACGGAGCGTGAATGCATAAAACGTATTGGTACGTAATCGTGAGGCGGCACGATTTCGAAATCTCGATATCTTTTACAATAGTATATCGAATTATTAAATATTAATTTTATTAATCTTTATGCAATCTTCTTGTAAAATATTTATATACATTGAATGTAACACATTCAACAATAACCTTACTTTTTTTAAACAATATGAGGATATAAACTACAAATGTTAAATTATCAAAACTAGCATCTGTAGCATCGGATTTTTTTAATGCATTTGTAGCATGCACAAAATAAAACGTAATCTGTCAAGTTAGTGTCTATATTTTTAGGCTTTCATTTACTTCAAATATTGATCATTAGAAGAGAGAGAGAGAAAGAGAGAGAGATATTGCTTATATTCAATAATTACGAAAATTTAAAGAGATTTAAGATGACCGGTAACTCTTTCCTACAATTCAAGCGTCTTCATCATCTACTCGGCGTGAAAACGAGCATCTTCGAGAAGAAAGAACCGCCCCTAGGAAACGATCCTTACTTCGCGTTTAATGTCCCGGAAGGATCCCGAGCTTTATATTTACTTTTATGCCTACATAAACGCAGGTCCGTAGGCTCCCGACGCATCGCGAGTCTGATTTTTATCGGCGCGGATCGCTCAGGGTTAAACCGATCAAGATGGAGAGAGGTCGTTTTGCGTTCACTTGTTATATTCCGCCCCTTCTGCAGTCAGGAAACACGGAGTCATAAAGGGGGGAAGAGCTTCCTCTTTCTCAAAGGAAGAAGACGTCTTCTTCCGCGGGAGTCATGCGTGACGAAACTACCGTGCTTTTACTCGTTCAACAGATCGGACGATTTCTCGAAGTATCCATGGTGATAGTTCGGTTTCGGTGAGATTCCGACAACTTTTGAATCCGAGGATTGTTGGCATTTGCGCGCGCCACACACTTACAGCAGAAGTGATTTCAGTTCCCACGAGAATTTGAGGGAATAGATTTACAGAAAATAGCGTGAGAGAGAATATTATCTTGTGCGAGAAAGAAAGATTGAAGGAAAATGCAATTTACTACTTGTATCCTACAGTAATATATATTAAGTTAATTTTTATCGTAGTATATTACGTAGTAATTTTAATTTTCTCATACATATCTATGGTAGTTTTATGAAAAAATTTCGAAATTGCGAAATTATATAAATAAATTCATTTTGAAAGTATACACAAATAAATTCATTCTCGAAATTATATAAATAGATTCATTTTTAAAGCACATATTAGCGCAAAAGAGTTCGAAATTGTGCGAGAAATCAACAGAACTTGCGAGCTCGTTTACTTTGAATTCATTTGGGACTGCAGCAAATACTACGAACATATCGAAGCAAAGAAAAGCTGTCGCAATATCGTATCGTAGGTAAAGTTTTACCTGTTACGCAGGATATAAGCGGATTTAGAACGGAGACGTGTACTGACTGGTATCGATATCGAAAGTAAAAGGCAACTCACCTTGTACCGGTTCTTGAGTAACACGTCAATAAAACCAGTTTTGCACGGTTTAATGTTTTTTTGGGTCTACAGAATTCGAGGACACATTTCTTCAATTATTTTAGAAATTGAAAAAAACAAAGAACATATTTTTCGATTGCACGATACATCAACGTAAGAATAATCAGATCAAAAAAGTATAAAACATGTTTTGTATATAAATGTTTGTAAAAGTGTATAGATAATTATTTATGATTATTAAAATAAATCCGACTGATAGAAAGTTAAAACGATGAGTTGTGACACATAAGAGAAGAAAACTCGTGAGAAACGTAGATTTTTTTTTTTTATTTTCAGAGACACGAGTCTGAGCACGTTGGCAGAAGTGCCGTCGAGATACCACTTCGCCGCTCACATGGGTCAACTGATTTCCGGTATAGAAGGTCAAGGCTGTCATAACTTTTATCCGACATGTCCACTGCCGGGCATCAGTGTGTTGAATATGATGAAGAAAATCCGTTTACATTGACGAGACGTGACAAGTTAACGATTGTTTAAATATTAAGTGACATCTGTGATATCGAGGATATTCTATTTTCTTATGTTTGCGAGATATTTACTACAAATGTTATGCAAACATTACTATGTAAAAGTATTCGTTGTTTGCAAACTTTCTGTTTGAGCATTCCGATACTTCACGCAAGAAATAAAAAAACCACTCACGTGCATTTACGTGCATTTACTCAAAACATAATATTGATGTATTTAGACGAGAATTTACTTACATGAGTCGGTGATTACAATCACGTTTTATATAAAAATGCCTTGTTATCTTATACAATAAACTTGTTGCATTTATTTCTTTTTTTTTATAGAATACATGACTTTACACACTTAAAAAATTCTGTATATTTGTATATATTTATGCGTACAACAATTTGAATTTGTATTGTTACTTTATATGTACATGTTAATACGTATTTTGTAAGAAGAAAATAAAGAGAGTTTTTTACATCTCGAAAACACCGATAATTCTTTTCAGGAAGGAGTTTCCTTTGCTATAACTTTATTGCGTACGATACGGAAATTGCGTGCTTCCGTAGAAAGTCTCGGAAGACTGCCAAATTATCAAAATTCTCGATCTCCGCTCTATATCCTATTCTTTCTTTCTGTTTTAAGACCATAGTTATCCTCGATATAATCTGGAAACGCGCGAAAATTATTACAATAATCGCCGGCGTCTTTATCGACTTAAGTCCGATGCCAAACTCCGCGGTAGACCGTTTCCCAACGAGCCGTGCGATCATAAACGAGATCGTGCCAAGAATTTCGGTTAACATTTAGCGCTGACGCGTTACGCGAGAAGGAACAGTATACAAAAGCGACGAGAACGCGCGACAACTTTTACTTTCCCCGTTCTTTGAGACTAACAATGTCATTGTCTCGTATAAATCACGTTAACTTTATTTCCTTCGTTAAAACAAGAACTTTTTTGTAACATTAATAAATATGATAATTAATTCAACATTAATAATTAATAGAGAATACTCTCGAGCTCTGGAGTTTCTAAACTAATAAATATATGAATATATATACGCACATTTTTCCGCACATCCTGCGAACGGCTCTTAATGATCCTATATTCATATATTTATTAATTATTAATGTTTTATTTTTTTCATATATTTATTCGAGTTAATAAGTTTTTTGTGGTTAAAGTTATCGAAGCATATTGACGATTCATCTTGGCACTCAAAAGTGAAATCAAGACAGACGAAAAAGGAGACATTAAAACAATAAGCTAATTAGTATGTGACTGTTGCAACATGATTAAGATATTCCTGACCGCTATTAGCATGGACGTCTGCAGGATATTTTTCAGGAGAGGGCGAAGCAATTTTTTCGTTTCAAAAATTATGAATTTTAGAGTAAGGTACAGTTTCACTGCACAGAGAGTTTTTTTCACGAATAAATGTATAATTTAATTTGTTAATCAGGGGATTTCAAACTTGTTTCAAGATAAAAAACACAATTTGTGAAAAAACTTGCCTCTCCAGGAAGGAGCAAAAATGCATGAGTTTGCCCTCCCCCTGCGGACGCCCATGGCTATTAGTATGTTTTGTTGACATTTCTTGTTTTAAGCTACGCAATTAAAATAATAAACTTTGAAAAAAAAGAATTTCTCAAAATTACTTCCAATTTTTTCGTCTCATCAATTACCGTAGAATCTTTTGAAATATGTAAATCCAAAGTTTCAAAACACTTCTGACAAACATCTAAATTAGTTAATCGGTTTACACGATTGCTTTTTGCCGGCAGACTCGACCTTGGCGAGTCGCGCAAAAATGTTACGTCTACCTAGTAGGATTCACTGTCACGACGCAAATAAGAGAAACTCGTAATGCGCTGGTATTTAATTACATAATTAAAAGATCTCTAATCGAAAACGAAAGCGCGTGATGGCAGTGTAGTTTACAGATTTTTTTTTTTTTTTGAAATAAATGAAAGGTTGAGATTTAATGAAAAATTTAATTGAAAGACATCGTTTTGCAGTGGCACAAGGTAAAGTTCTGAATGTCGTAACGCAGAACTCACAGTTGAACTCGACCGCGCGCAATCGACGCGGGGAAGGGGCAATTACTTTCTCTTCGGCAACGAACGACAAAGAACCCCGTAGCGTCTCGACGAACATTCGATAAGTTTTTACCAAAGCAGCAGCCAAGCTAGCTTAGACGGTCCGTCTCGTGTTTTCGGCCAGCGTACGAATACGGTGCACGTCAGTCAACGTAGTACGTCGGCGAAAGTGTATTCTGTGCAATTCTCGTAAAATTAAAAATCGTGCAATCCGATTTCGAACTGACTGAAAAAGCGCAACGATACAACGTTCTGAGTTGCACGATGATAAGGGTGGTAACAGCGCGACGTGGATTTAATTTTATTTATTTAATTCACGTGCTGTAATTCGAGTCGCATGTGAAGTGCGCAATCGAACCGTTCCATGGGGATTCGTCGAGTGTAATCGAAACTTCCGCTCGAATAACACGCGCTCGTAATACCAAGTGTAATTCACGGTGATTTTTTTGAGATTTTATTAACGATAACGGTATAGCTTATGTTATTAACACTTAAAATATAAGAAGAGTACAAAAAGGACACAAGATCGAGAGATCGCAAGAGAATCACTCATTATATTACAACGTAAAAGAAATTGCACACACACACACATACACACGCGCGCGCGCGCACACAGTTGAGAGACAAGACTAATCTGTATCTACGTGTGTCAAAAGTGTAGCTTCCTTTTCGAGAGGTAAGAGTTCGAGAAAGCCGCCGCGACAAAAAGAAAACACAATCGCGTGCGATGCAGGAAGTTAATCTTCGACGACCGTGTTGTTAGTTTCACACAACGTTGCTTTGCGTTAATTAATTAACGAATATCTCAGATCCATTTCACAAAATGCACATGCGACGGATATTCTTGCTGTTTGGCTGCTACTTTGTGGTTCTGACACTTGCGTACGACGACGCCGATGAGGGAACTTACACTGATTTTCTTCCACTTTATCTGATCGGTTTTCCAGTGATAGCGATTTCCGTAAGAATCACGAACTTTCTTAAGAAGCTCGCTTACGCACTAAATCCAGGTAAAGTTTCAAAAAACAAAAAAAAAACAAGCAAGACAATAGTTCATATTATGACAACAACGTGACTTCCGTCTCTTCCGAATAACGGATGTGATCGATATGTTCGGTTCGGTTGAAAACATGACACAAATTTCGTAGAGATTTGTCGCAAATCTCGCGAGATTTATTAGAATACAATTTTGCAGGCTCTGATGTTTCAAAAAAAATTGAAAGATTTAATTGCAAAAAGACAACAATGTACGTGTACGCATTTTTTTCATATTTTCTATTTTATATCACGCTTGTTTGAAGGTTTCTGTCAGTATTACGGTTCGTTACGCGTGAAGAACATGTACGTACGCACGTCGCGGGATATTTGCTTTTCCTGGCCAGTTAGCTCATAGAACACGTGAATTAAATCGGTGAACAGCGAAAGCGAAAGTGTTCTACTTGTTGCAACTTCTCCTTCCGTTCACGGTGGTTAACACGTAACCACCAACAATTCAGGTTACTCGTGCGAACGTGATGTGAAAACGGAAAAGCCGAAATTACGTTAAACGTAATCGATAATGCTCGACACTCGTAATGCCAAACGTAAATCGCACGCACTTTAATTTAATCGGGACTACCGTAAGGTTTATATGTTTTTTTAATTAAAAGTTTGAAATGCTGTTTATTGCACGTTTGAAAAAAAAGTGGTACAAGAATCTTATTGATAAACAGTCATTAAATCATCTCTGGCGACAAAATACAATCTCGATAAAGTATCCTACAGGTCTCTCTCAAAGACAGATCTTATTGATTCGTTGACTTCGTAGATACTTACGTCAGTCGAGTGAAACGAGCGCAAGCTTTGATACACGACGAAGAGATTTTAGACGTTGAACAAATCGAAAAGAAACTGGTAGCCGAGTTTGGAAATAACGTTTGCCTCTACGAGAGGACTTGCACCAAATATGCGGAACGAACGCTCGCGAGACGAAGTCGGGAACGTGTTCTCGATTGGACCAAAGTGTTCAGGTACGATGCAAATGCAATAATAATTTACACTGGAACAACCAGAGTTGAATGTACATCTAATTTTTTTACCATATCTGTCAATTTTTGACATATATTTGAAAAAATGTTTTATTTGTTATTATTTTTTGTTTCTTTGATATTTAAATAATATACTTAAAACAAGCTTTTAGCTACAGATAATTTTAATGTTTCACGTGCAATTTTGTTTGTTTAAATAAAATTATTCAGAATATTTTTTGCAAATAGATCGCATTTCTGAAATTTGTCGAATTTTTGACGAATTTGGTTGATCTGATGTTATTAATATAATATTATTAAATTAATATAATATTATATAATAATAGTTAATTAAAATATAATATTAGCCAATGATTATATTATGTAACGAACTTAATTGTTTATCAAGATCACAGTGAGATTGAGACGCTTGCGTTATGTATCAAAGTTTATATTGTCAAAAACATTAACTAACATCGCTTTTCAGTGCAAGCAGCTGCGTTTTTTTCTTATGTAAGTCCGTCAAAAAATTCTGAATAATATTTTTCTAAATGTTAAAGCGTTTAGTTTATAATAATAGTCAAGTTTTCATTTCAGAAAAAATCCTACATTGAGAAATAATCTCTTCTTTTTTCTAGTTAATTTTTTTCAGCATATTTTTTTTTTTTTTTTTTTTNATATTTTTCTAAATGTTAAAGCGTTTAGTTTATAATAATAGTCAAGTTTTCATTTCAGAAAAAATCCTACATTGAGAAATAATCTCTTCTTTTTTTTTTTTTTTTTTTTCCTTTTTTTTTTTTTTTTTTTTTTTTTTTTTTTTTTTGCTAATATAAACATTAATTTTAATGTAATAAGCGCGAGAAAAGTTTCTATTTATTTCTCGCCTCTGACGTTATAGTGCAATATATTTAAAAAAATCTTAATTGGAAAGGATTAAATTTTAATCTATACACACGGCGTCTAATCGATCATTAAGTAAACGAAACATGTCGTAACCCGTCGTAGAATCGTTACGACGATGATAAACGTGAAAACACGATCCACGCCTGCAGGTTTTTAAAAGACCGTGCATCGCGAGGGAAAAACACATTCTCTCTTAATGGCGACCGAACATTTTTTCCTCTTCTGTTCTCGTTCCCCTTCACGCAACATTCGACGCTATTGAAATCCCTCTGCTACTGTCTTCGCCCACTTCGCTCACCTTCGCCGAGACTTATACTAAATTCAGTTTGTAAGTAACGCCGCGGGAATCTTTAATGGCGCCTTCACGAACGCTCTAATGCATTCTGATAACTGGCGTTCGTCCCGCGTCTCTTCACTTTCTTTCGTTCTTCTTCTTGATTTCGTCTCTTCGTGGCTTGCCGCTTACCGCGCCTCACACAGACATCGTTTTACGATTGTACCGCTATTCGAGGTCTATGGGTCTGAGGAGACTCTTCCGTCGACTTATCTCTCCTTAATGCTTTGCGGTTCGAGATAGCAAGCACGTGTCGCCAGTGCTTGTCAACGCACTGCGTATCTTTGAAAACGTGCGCATCGTATCTCTTTTTTTCCATCACCTTCGAACGCATCTTATATAAAAACGAGTTTTCTTAATACGAGAATGAGAGAGAAACAAAGCGGAAGAGAAGAACAAACAGATAAATTAGAGATTAGACAATGGCAAGACTTATCGTCTAGACGGATTTGTGAACATGGATGAGGGACGAAACTTCTCTCAAAAATCGTCTCGAACCCCCGATCCTTCTTCTTGATTTAACTCGGAAAAACCAGGTTAACGTTATGTCAGAACGATCACAAGCAAAGTGGCGTCGTTAGAAATTAGGAATACATTTAGACAAGATGACAAAGTCGTCTAGACAAAACAATGAGTGGCAATTTCGAACTAGGGATTAGCTACACGAACAACGTGACAGATGTGTAACCACAAGTTTTGTTTTCACGAGAAAAAATATTTTCTATCAAAATATTATCTCTCAAAAAATTTTCATCTCACTTTCAATGTGTTTTTGACACGTAGTATTTTTATTTCGATCGATCGTCATTTTCTTCTGTACACAATATTAGGTATAACAATCATTATTTTGCATTATTTTACAGAGAATATAGATCATCGCCCAATCCGATGAAGGAGAATTATTTGCTGAGCGTATTTCTTGGCGACATTATCGGCAGTCCGAAGTTATGTCATTTATTGGCGGAGAGAGGAAGATCCTGCGATGCTATCTTCCCGGACTGAAGTAAAAGTCTGAGACGCGGCTTGTAGCAAATTTGTAAATATTTCGATGCCATGCGAGAAGAGAGAACTGATCAAAATGCATTACAGTGATATTTGTACAGATTGACAATATAATGATTTATATCATGTAAACATTGTAATTGCTTATAGGTTTATTACTTCAGAAGATATGTGATCTTATTTTTTTTTTTTTTTTTTAATTCGATCATTACACACATTCGGACGCGACATAAACACTTTACGTAACCAATGCGCATGGATTCCACCGTTGCGAAAATACACGTAATTTGTTTATCCTTGAAGCAGAGTTCTTGCGAAAAATCATCATGACATTTTCGTGTGGATTTACACGTACACATTTACATACTCTTATATACACTAATATATAATATTGTACATATGTACGCGCGTGAACGGAGCGCGAAAGCACTCCGCATGCAAGTAAGTACGGAGTGAGAGTTGCTCGCAATGACGTCGTCACCAGCCCACGTCTTTCCGACCGAACGGGTAAAGAAAGATCGACGTCGAAGAAAGTTTCAGTTGATGCAAAACCATAGAAAGGCGACATTATCGATCGCGTCAAAAGAAAAAAAAAACAAGATATATCGCTAAACAAAAGATCGTGTTAAAGTTAAAAAAAAAAATCAACATTTTGCGAATGTGAAATTGAGCAGTTACTGCACGTTGTAAAATTCTTATGTACACATAACGTGTTAAAACGATACTAATGTGATAGCAATTTTAACGCAATGTGATGTAAGATCGTTTTTACCGTTAAAGTTTATATTTTTAAGTGTGTAGAGAACGCGAGTTGTGTGTATATCTTTTACATTATCAAAACAAAAGAAATCTGTACTACAATATACAGAAAATAAAAACACGTAAATTTGTTTCAAAATGCTAAGTAAATTTGTCTTTTTTTGGTGCCTTTTACATCTCGAAATTTACGCCGAGCATTTATCGCAACAGTCTCAAGAATCGTCTGACGACAGCCAATGCGCTTTCGAAGTCTCTCAAAAACATTATAACGTAACAGATCTGTTACGGTGAGTATAATAAATATTTTGACATTTCAGTGACAACATCGACAGAAATATTATCGTGTTATCTCACATCAGTGCGATAAATATTAATGTTTGATCACACATGATATACATGTTAATTCATCATGTAGATGTATGAATGAGCTCGCTATTGATCTCTCCGCTGAAAATGGTAATCGACTGCCCAAACGAAAAGATCATTTTGATTCGTCAGCTTATCGAGAAAATTCGCGCGAGTTTCCTTACGGAAATATGATTTTAAATCTACTTAATAATGGCGTCTCGGTGGGTATATTATTTCTTGACATAACGTCTCTCTTGTGGTATAAAAAATATTAAATATATAATATTCTAAAAAATAACTTGTAGATCCTTCAAAGTACCCCATCGGATCCTATTGTCGGTAACTATCAATTAGATTCTTCTGAAGTGTCGAACGATCCTATTTTCAATCGATACGGTGAATTTGGATTATATCTCTTTAACGCTCTATCGTCGATTTCACGCCACGATGATCTGAAGTGCGTATCGAGAATACTCTGCGAAGTGGCGAGCGGAAAGCCACCGGGGGAATACAGGCAAGCATCGGCGGGAGGTAACACGCAATATTTTGAAGGACTCAGCAGGAATATTTTCGCTCAGTACGTATTTTTCTTGAAAAACGTAACACAAAAGCATTTTTCTTTTCTCACATCAAATCAATGAAGACTGTGACGTGTTTTTAAATATGTACAAGACTTTTTTACAAGCGTGTCAAAATTATTGTACTAAACTTTTCTTGTTATTTGTGCAGATGGCTTGTCGGGATTGATGTAGCAGACACATCCCCTGTGTTGAGTTTCGCTCGAGCAGCCGCGCTGGGCTATAGCAGCCACGGAAATCCGACTGTGTGTTATCGCGCGTTTCCGAGATGTCCGCGTAATCCCGACAAGTTGGTGCATTATCTGAACAATCACAACGGCGGATTCTTTCAGTTTTTCAACAGACACGGACACGGGAGTTATTCGCAATCGCTTTACACTGTGAGAGGTAGAGTAAAAAAAAAAAAAAAAACATTGAATAGATTTAATCATCGCGATGACGTTAAGATTTCGAATTTTCTAGAAATTAAAGTGCTTGTGTGTTTTTGTTTCTTTACAGACAATTTGAAATTTCTCAGAGAGAGAAGACAGAAAGCTTTGCCGCCGGGCATCGCCGGAGCGGAGGCGGATCGCACCGGAACGGGCAAGCTGAAATTCGACGTCTCCGTTTTGACTGCTCGCCAAGATTACGAGAAAAGCTTCTTCCCGAAGGAAAATACACTGGAAAGCTCGGAAAGACAAATGGTGTTCCCGCATCACGAGGAGTCGAATGATTACCCATCGGAAAACAGAATTCCCAAATCCCTGTCAGACTTACGAGATTCCGACGCGAAAACATTTTCGCAAAAATCTCCGCGGTTCTTTCCTGAGGTATATAACAGATTAATTTCTAAACTGATTTTTATATAATAAACAATATGTTATATTCAAAAATGCACTTTTTTTGCAAAATGTGTTTCAGGAATCGAAAGACGATAACGTTCACGTGTTGCGTTTTACTTCGGAACTTTCGACATCTCGTAATTTTCGATTTCCAGATTACTAATTAAGTTCTTTGCAATTGAAAAGTTTTTTTTTTAAGCTGTTAAAAACATTGACGATTACAACATTTACTCAGGGTGCTAAACAGGAAATTATTTGTTAGATATATTTAATTTATTTATAACTGGTGAATATTAACGTAATCCGGGATATATTTTATCAAGTGACTATATTATATTTATTACTAATATTTATTATTACGTCGGATAATATTCGTAAAATAATATACGCGATTTGTGTATTTTCGCGCTTACGTCTCACGCACGTGTATACCTTGTTATATTTTTCATGACCGCCTGAAATTCGGCAGCCCGAGCGGCTCGCAATCGAACACGTTCACATAAAAGAGGGGACAGGTTTTTCTTATAAATTTTTTTATGCACAATCTTTTTAAGATATCTCTCTTCTCACGTGTATAATTATACGTCAGTTTCCTTATTCATTAAATTACGCGCCGTCTGTGCGCGCGTGGCTGGCATAATATGAGAAATTGTGAACTCAGCTGGAAATTTAAGTTTGATGTCGATAGACAAACATTTGACTATTTTACGTGTCAAAGCATATTCTACCCTTGCTGATGCAGGGAATTTTCCATTCGGTCTGCTTCACCTTTTCTCGCATACACTGGATAATTTTATGTCCGCCATTCTAGAATATCTCCTAATATGTATATACATACATACATGTATGTATGTATATAAAACAAAAAAATTAATATTAAAATTAAAATTCGCCGGAGTTTTATAAAATTTTCTTTTGTTTTGCATAACAAAGAATAATTTACATTTTGCATTTTCTATGATTTTTTTTAATTCAAATGTTTAAAATATGTATTTCAAAACTGTGTACACAAAAATATGTTCATATTGTGTGCAATAATATCAGAAAATTCCGTTATAAATAAAAATTTCGCGTAGAATATAAATTATTCTTAATGTTCCCTCATACGAGGAGCTTTTGTTTCCCATACATTTGCCGGGAGAGTCTCCGTTAGAGATTTATTCTACCGTGCAATCATCTTTCAGCGTAATAATTTTCGATCATGAATTTTGCCAAAGCACAAGCCGATAACTTGTATGATCAACTGGAGTGTGTAACTTTCCCGCTACTTCGCTCAGCAATTTTAGCCGCCGCGTAAGGTCGAAACTTGTTCGACAGATAATTATACACGCCTCCCAAGGGTCTTCCCATTCAGTTAGGGTTTCGTTCTGTGACTCTGTATTTTCTTTGCTCTTGCGTTTCAGGTGATGATAGCAACACCTTGCACTTTTCGCACGTGCTCGCGTGTGCGAAGAAGGCGTTTAGTTTTTCTCTCGGTCTTGAAATATAAATAAATCTCGCGAAAAACCATGTACAGGTACATCATTCTAATCTGCGTTAATCTGTAATTTAACAGGTGAGACATGGAAAGCGGCAATATGTTTAGAATTGTGCGTGGAAACTAAATAATTAAGGAAGAGCGCTAATAAAAAATGTAAAAAAGCTGTATCAAAATTTTGCTTGCTCGAAATTGCTTTTCGAAACAAATTGGTTCCGAGCAATTTAATAAAAACGTTCGTTAAAATGCGACGGTGAAAGGTTAGACAACGTACATTGTGTGCCTCGTTTGTTTCGTTTCTGGTGCGAAACGTTTGACACGCAGGCGCGCAGCTGCAAAATTCACGTATGACTTTCTCCAAATAGCGACTAACCGCTCGGTGACATTGTAGAAATAGTGCGCGCAACGTCGAAAAAAAAAAAAAAACGGCAGACAACGTGTAATTATTTTATTCTTTCTGGCGTGTAATTTGGGGCGTGCATCACGCTCGTGAACTCGCTGACTCGGTGCAGGGGGTTGCGCTCGGAGTTCACGGCAATGCCGTAGCCTAGAGGGGCGTGTGCCCCGGACAGGGCCAAGTGGGGTGCAACTGACAGCGGAAGACAATTAGCCTTCTGATACATCCAATGTCGCGTGATACGCACCGCGATACGCAGGAAACTTACAAAGATTCGTTTCACGCTTCGTAACACGCGGGATAATAAAGTAAGCAGAATGCAATTCCGACCGGAAAATCGTCGATTTATAATTCCCTGTATGATATGTAACAAGTTTTTTTGAAATTACATAATTGTTTAAATCATATGTATATTTTTAAATATCGTGTCAGAATTTTTAATATTTTGAAAAATTCGACAAAAATCATATTTACGCTTTGCGTTTTTTCTACATACATTACTGAGATTTACATTTACATGTACTCTGTAACAGAATTTACGAATGGCCTCGTAATTAAATAGAGGCTTTCAGTCGGAAACGATGGAATCGAGTCACGCCACTGGGGTAAAGTGAAACAGGTCGTAACAGGCTTAGATGTCGCAAGGATGTGCGACGGGGATAAGAACCGTGATGAGACGCGTCCTGGTCGTCTAACGCTGCCTCCATCATAATCTCGCTCTATTAGTGCGGTATTATTTTCCGTGGTCGACATCAAAGAGGATTTCCCGCGAGCCTATTGCATCGCGACGATAATTCCTCGTTATTAGCAGCACCGCCGTCGTCGGGGGGTGTTGGTCTCATGTCGGCTTACCACGCCCCAAGTGCCGAAACAAATCCTCCCGAATTGGCGGTGCCGATGCAAAGGAGCTCGACGCGCATTACAACAAAAGATCCGTCGGCGATTGCGGCGGCTAATCCCCGTGAAAAATGCGTTGCAGGTGGACGAATCCGCCATCGTCGACGATCAGGTGCGAGACCGTTCGAAAAAGGAAACGAGTTTTTCCGAAGGGTGGCTTAACAAGAATATCCTTAGTCATCGTCGAATAAGCGACTCGAAATTTGCGAGAATTTTCCGAACTCACGATGAGCTTGTGGTTCTACTGTTCAACTGATGATTTTAATGCAGAGTCGACGAATTTTATTTCAACGTTTGAAGCAGCCGTCACATTCTGTTCCCTTTCTCACTCTTCTTGTTTCCTAATTTGTTTATTCTCAGTAACGACACTCAGAAACTGTTTCCGATTAATTAATTATTTTATACAATAGTAGCTAAATATAGAAAAAAAAACACTTAGGACATATAACATTAATTTACTAATAAAAATGTGAAAAATAAAAATACCGTGTACTTCGGGAGTCACATTTCTGAGATTATTTTTGTAAATAATGTAGTGTCTTCACGTGAACTAATGTGAGAGAAAAAAGGCTGCAAGATACGTACTGAACTGCTATTAAACATGAACCCCCTGCTATTAAACTCCATTAAATCAAACCTTCCTAAGCAGCTTCAACGGTTCGCGAAAACTAATCAGGCAAGCGGTAGCTACTACGTACGTTCGAGTTGGCCCGAAAATAAGACATAAATTCTCGAATACACCCACCTACCGCGCGACCATAAAACACCCGCCCGCGATCTTATTTAGCCGTATATTTTTCCCCACGAGCGGCACACAATGCCTCACAATATCTTACCGTCGCAATATACCACACGGACTAACCTTTTCTTCTCGATGGACTTTTCAATTCGGGGGCATCGGATCTTTGTCATTGGAAGCGAGGACGCCAATTCGTTCGCACAAAAGAACCGCGGTAGATCTCTCTTCTCGTTGAAAACTGACTCCCCTCCCGATCGCGTGATGGACAGAATAATTCGGCGAGAATGAAAATTCATGTCCTTCGGCGGTCCTTCCCTTCGAACGGTCTTGCGCCATAGGGTCCTCGAAAGTCCGTGAAATTCTGACGCGGTGGTCAAACCGTCGAATAAGTGGGTATCTGGTCGCACAAAAGAAACGATACCCGCAACTTTACGCTATCACCGTCCACCAGATTTCTCTTATTCCTCGTGAAAGATATGATCCTGATTGTTGACGGAAATAAGCGGTCAGTTGATAATAGAAATATACTTCTGAAAAATTTCATTACGCGCAATTGTAAAATTATAAAAGTATTAATCGATAAATTTATCAAATGAAATGTAGGTCGCTTCGAAATCCTCAAATTAAGATGAGAAAAGAGACCAATTGGAGCAAGTGACACAGTTGGTTAGTGTATCGTAGGTTGTTTTTTTTTGTTAATTGCAAAAAGTATACGTTTCGATCCATTGTATATGGTCTTTATCAATACGATATTTACTTTACTTTAGTCACGTGACAAGGACGAGAGGGAAAACAACGCGTGACTAAAGTTACGTGACTTTACTTTAGTCACGTGACTTTAAAAACGTGACTAAAATAAGGTCACGTGACAGGTAAGAGAGGAAAAACAACACGTGATTAAAGTCGCGTGTCTTTAAAATCGTGACTAAAGTAAAATATCGAATAAATTTTTAGTAATTTCAAAGAAACTTTTGAAACGTTTCTGCGAGCCATGACCTAATAAATCGCTATAAATGTACATATATTTGGAAAAAATATCTATTTTTTTTATATCGGTTTGCGTACGCGTGTGTGTTGGCAGCGTTTGTCGTAAGATATTATAAAATCCTCTTATTTGGCGTTTGGCACAAAGCCGCCCACGATTTTTCTCGCTGGTGTGCGCGGCGATTTTTTTTCCTTATTTAAAAAGTTCAATTTACTTGGCAGATCGGTTTTCAAATCGTTCATAAATAATGAATCTGGATGCGGGTTCCATCGCGCAACGTCAGTCAGACACGCTGATTGCAGCATTGAGGACACGTGTCGCGGATCAATCGTCAGACGCGTGTCAGTATTTTCGTATCATCGCCGAAGGGTGCCTTGTCGCTTTATCTCTCTCTCTCTCTTTCTCTACCGTATACGTGTGCGATTTACACATATATATCTTTTTCTTTCCTCCCAACTACCTTTCATCTCGTCAGTCTTTTTCCTCTTCCTTCTCCGTTCTGTTCTCTCCTTCTCTTCTGTCGTCGCCCCTCGTCGCTATACCTCGAGTTTGCACGCAAAGCCAAACGAGTGTCGCGGAGAAAGCCAAACGACGTGGCGCAGGATCGGTTTTTTTTTTTTTTTTTTTTTTTTAAAGCGACCAGACGACGCTTTAATACGGTCGGGATTATGCTGGACCGAGGCTTCGGATTTCGCTCGAGATCGTCATGGATAAGGGACGTACAAACAGAGGTCTAAGAACGCCCCTCGGCTCGACGTCGCGTCGATCGCTTGTCAGCCGCTGGGATTTCCTGGTTTTTTAATTAAAAGCGCTGGCGGAGCTTAGATCCGCTGACGGCGGTGAATACACACGGTCAACACCGATAGAGTAAAGCGTGGAAGTTATATCCAAGGTAAATTTTTCGAACGCACCGAGAGCAATCTGGTTTTGTAAGTCTCACGAGATTGGAATTTTCTCTCTTACATACACATTATAAATAGCCTCATATAGCGCGCCTCTCTCATCTGAAATTGCGCGTGGTAATGTGTTTGTGATTTTTTACGAAATAATATTTTTCAAAGCAATTAACACGCACGTCGCGGCAAAACACGCTATATTGCGCTAACGATGTTTCGCGCGCGAAACTCATATTTTCCGAAAGCGACCTCGCTCGGATGATCCTGTACATGTAATGTAACGCGTATAAGCAAAAATCGGCGAGCAATGAAATCCGCGCGGCGGCCCATAGGCAAGCGCGTCTCTCGTAACTTCTTCGCGGAGCAAATGATCGCGACGTGCCGCGCAAGCCGAGCGAATAAGCGGGTGATACCTTCCAGGAAGAAGTTAGGTGCGCTGGAACCTTGAAGATAGATGAAGAACGGGGGAGAGAGGAAAGGAAGAAAGAGTGAGAGAGGAA